GTCGGTCCTTATCTCTTCTTTGTTCTTCTTCTTCTGTTACCAAAGAAATGCCTACCTCCTTATCTTTCTCTGGCTTTCTTTTTTAGTTCTTTGGAATTTGGTGTCTCTTCTGGCAACTTTCCTTTCCTGGCCCCAAGCTGATTTACAGCTTGCTTGGTTCAAAGACAGCCAGGCATCCAACGGCTAATTGCTTCTAAAGGAAATGGGGTGGGGGAATGGTGTGCTCTCTTGGAAGGCAAAAGCAAGTTAGCCCTTTGTAAATAAGATAGAGTCCACTGTTACATATATGTTAAATATATATACAGAATATAAAATCATATATTAAAATAATGCCCTTCACAATGGCAACTTGATCTGCAGTAAAATAGCATCTTGATCTCCAATGCATCTGGTGAAGGGACTGCTTCTTGTAGACCAGCGTTTTTCAACCTTGGCAACTTTAAGACATGTGGACTTCATTTCCCAGAATTCCCCAGCAGGCATGCATGGGGAATTCTTGGAATTGAAATCCACATTCTTCAAGTTGCCAAGGTTGAAAAAAAGTGTTGTAGACCTTATAGGGGGAGAGCAGTGTTAGTCTATGATGGCAAAAAAAAATATCAAAAGGAATCTGGTAGCCCCTTTTCTGAATAATAAATTTAATGAAAAGGCAGACTCTTTTGTGAGCTGCAGCTCGCTTTGTCAATTGCAGTGCAGTGGCTAGACTAACGTAGCATTTAAATTATAGTTCGTTAATATTTTGTTCATTTTACTGTCTTTTTGGAAGAAGTATTCCTAATGGTTTTGCAATGATCAGAAGGAATCTGGTGGCCCCTTTTCCAAATAACAAATTTGGAAGCTTCTGTGAACTGCAGCTCAAGTCATTGGATGAAGTGGGCTGTAGTTCACAGAAACTTATTTATTTAATAAGTTTATATGGCCGCCCATCTCATATACATAACTCTGGGCAGCTAACAATTAAAATAAAAACTTTGTGCCTTTCAAATACAAAAATGCCTTTTAATACTGTTTGTTAGTCAGAAAAGAGGTTACCAGACTCCTTTTGGTGAAGCGAGGTAGCTTTGCCTTGATAGCAAGCCTCATACAAATTTGGTTGCATCTTTAATTGGTGATTAGATTTATATCCCACCTTAATTTCTACAGCTCAAAGGGTGGGGGACCTGATGCTCCCTCCTCCTATTTTCTCTACAACAATCACCCTGTGAATGGGGTTGGGTTGAGAGAGGGGGGCTGACCCAGAGTCACCCAGGGCACTTTCCTACCCAAGAAAGGACTAGAACTCACAGTCTCCCAGTTTCTAGCCCAGTGCCTGCATCATGGCACCCAGCGGGTCCTTGTTTTGTGATATTAGGGATCAGCACAAGAGAGTATCTCTAAAGTCAGTGTTACAGATGCTGTCAGGTGATGAAACTTGAGAAGTCCACCTGTTGTTATATATATGAAAATAATAACCTAGAGCAGAGTTTTTCAACCTTGGCGACTTTAAGTTGTGTGGACTTCAACTCCCAGAATTCCCCAGCCAGCATGCTGGCTGGGGAATTCTGGGAGTTAAAGTCCATACAAACAGAAGTTTATTGGCCAATAAACTTCTGTATGTATGGACTTTAACTCCCAGAATTCCCCAGCCAGCATGCTGGCTGGGGAATTCTGGGAGTTAAAGTCCATACAAACAGAAGTTTATTGGCCAATAAACTTCTGTATGTATGGACTTTAACTCCCAGAATTCCCCAGCCAGCATGCTGGCTGGGGAATTCTGGGAGTTAAAGTCCATACATCTTGTTGTATGGACATAAAGTTGTCAAGGTTGAGAAACACTGACCTAAAGTAACAAGGAGGCAACATCTGTATCCAAAGAACCAAAATGTTAAAAAGGATCAAGGGTTGAGATGGGTAACAATGGATGAGCATCTACAACTGACCATCAACAACCAACAAGAATTTAACTAACCACAGTGACAATTCCATAATGTAAGAAAGTCAGTGTCATGATATATTTACAGTTACAGCAAAACTACTATAAAATGCTACGTCTGAAATCCTGAGACCCTTCCCACTTAGATGCAGTTCTTTAATAAGACCTTTCGATGTTGAGTGCTCCTGGGGAAGTGAAGATGCATTTGCAGATGTAGATATCTTTAGCTACACCTTTTACCTTCGCTGAAAGAGCTGGCATTTCCTTCCTTCGATTTGATGCTTCCACCTTTTTATTTTCCTTGTATTGTTGTAGTGCTAATGTGTTTTTGTTCTGGGCATGTGGCGTATTGTATTTTCTCTACGTGAGTGTTGTTTGAACTGCCGCAGAATAGAAATATGTCTTAGAAATAAATCAATTTCAAGGAAAACTGCCTGTTGCTTTCTCTCTGCAAGCAACTTGAATGCTGACCAGTTTAACGTGGGCTTGAACCAACAGGTCCTAAGGCATGAAGAATTTGAAGAAGGTTGCAAGGCCTCGTGCAACGGGTATGTGGATTTCATCTTGGCTTTCCTTATCACAGAAGCTGTCTGGAGGGTTTCCCTGCTGTGCTGTCTCAGAACAAGGAATGTGCCGGGAGTGAGGTAGGGAGCAAGGCAGAACTGGCTTGCTCTCCGTCTTCCTCCCACATAGATTCTGACACCTTACAATTGCAGCCCTCTGGCAATTATGGTGATTTTACCTCCTGTATTAGCTTTGGGTTCTCTTCGCTGCTGAATTCTATTTTTATTGGCCTGTTCTTGCACATTTTCAGAAATGGAATTTAGTCTGAGAATGTTTACTGCATTGTTATAGTTTGATTTGATCTGATTTTTTTTTTAATGCCAAGAGATACGTTGGCAAAGGGTCCAAGAAATACTTTTTATTATATATCTCAGGTGTTGGCTCTGAATCCATATAGCTACCATACTCTGAGTTTCTATGGAATATTTGCAAACTTTCTATGTGAAGTACCAGCAATAAAACCCCAACAAGAAAAACAGCTTTATTCTAGCTAGGGTGATGAATGGATGAAGAAATGAGCCATATATATCAGTGGGAGCTAGGGAGTTGTGTGGGGAGCTAAAAGGATTTTTTAAAAAATCTGGTCCATTTCAGCATTCTCTTCTTTGATTAGGAGCAGCTCTTCAAAATCTCAGAATTATGTTTGTTCTCACCATAATCCTTTTAACAAAAAGATGCTCTGGAATGAATTTGAGATTTTTTTCCATACAAAGGGAGGTTCTTTATTCATTGGCACTAAACCAACCATCCCATTGACCTGAATGAAGACAGAATAGACCCTGGGCTGTTCCAAGGGGAAGGAGAAGTAATGGAGATGTTTTTCTGTGATGCTGTTCCTGTAAACAAATTAAGGTGGATATGTTTCTAGCCCGTATGATGGCAAATGGAGTAAAACCATGGTGGGCTATGGTCCGGAGGATGATCACTTCGTTGCAGAACTAACTTACAATTATGGCGTTGGGAATTACCATCTTGGCAATGATTTTCTGGTAAGCATCATTCCCGATATTGCTTTGTGATAGGTATGAGTCAATAATCTTGAATCTGCATAAAAAGGAGGAAGGATATTATGGAGATATTCCTTTCTTTTCTTTTTCCCTCGTGGTTCAAATTCCAAGGGTTGAACATGTATGTTAATGTCTAATAAAAGGAGGCTACTTGTGCCTAATGAGTCCCATTATAGGATGAAACTGATTATACAGGTAGGTCTCGCTTACTGGCTGCCTCGTGCAGCAACCGTTCGAAGTTATGACGGTGCTGAAAAAATAACTTTGTGACAAAGGCTCGCATTTACGACCTTTGCAGCGTCTCTCAGTCATGTGTTCACCATTACAGTCAGTACCAGTTGTTCTGTGCCTGGCCCATTTCCGCCCCCACCCCCCACCCCCTCAAAGGTTGCTTAAACAAGCCTCTCTTCCACAGCTGCTTTCCCCAAAAGATGCTAACTGCAATTTAACAAGCTCAGCTCTGTGACCTTAATCAGTTGATTAGAACCTGTGGGTTGGCAGTTGCTGCCTGAAATTGACAAGACCCTAATCAGTTTCACACTAAAGGCTTTTTTTTTACTTCCTAGAGCAGTGTTACTCAACCTTGGGAACTTTCAGATGGGTGGACTTTAACTCCCAGAATTCCCCAGCCAGCCATGCTGGCTGGGG